GCTCGTGGAGCAGCTCGTGGAGCAGCTCGTGGAGCAGCTCGTGGAGCAGCTCGTGGAGCAGCTCGTGGAGCAGCTCGTGGAGCAGCTCGTGGAGCGGCGACAGACGTGTATTTGTTCATTAGTGTTTTTTAAGCCCCTTCGCTGTTGTAACGCGACAGCACATACCACCGGGTTGCACAAGTGTTTGGCGGGCCCGGGCCGCCACCACGAACAGCAGCGCCAGTGTCACGGGCAGGTGGGCAGGACGCCCGGCAGCCCCGTGGCCATCCAAAGAGGATTACTACTGGGACTGGGGCTGTCATGACACAAGAGCTACTCGGAGCTACTTTACGCTCATTAGCGGCCTCCAGGTTGGAATCGTTCGCAAATTGGCATTCTTCATATGGTTCCGGCCGCTCATGACCCTACCCCTTCTGCCCCCTCCCGCCCCTCGTCTGGGGCAAGGTTGTCTGGTAGCGCTCGTCTCGCCCGCGCGCTCGTCTGGCCGGTGGTAGCGGATTCTGATCACTTTCGCAACAGCGGCAAATCATCGCCCAAGAGCACGGGCGGCAGCAAGAGAGAGGGAAAGTCAAAGGAAAGGAAAGAGGAACAGAACTGCGAGCTGCGAGACATACAGAGAGGGAGAGAGGTGAGGTTGGGGCGGTTGGGCCGGTCTGCGCGGCGGCGCGTTGCGAATGAATGGGCTCGCCGGGGTCCTGGGCGAGGCGCCCGGGTAGGCACACCCGCCGCACACGCACGCGCCACAGGCTCGCCTACCCGCCAGGCGCTCCGGCGCGCCGCTGCAGCAAGCGCACTGCGCACACTAGCCACTACTTACCTCCTGTACGTCGAAGTGCACGTTCTTGAGGTCGTCGTCCACGAGCTGGTAGGGGTCGACGCGGTACTCGGGTAGAGATCCAGGCTGCTGCGATCGCACGGAGCTGAGCAGGCGGCTGCCCGCGACGGCCGTCTGCAACACACAATAATCGGGCGGTTCGTCAAATTTGTACAGTTTTTGGTCGTGGTCGTCCAAGTGAAGAGGTCTCCGAAAAGATTGGAGGGAGGGGGCACAGGTGGCCTCAGGCTCAGCCACGGTCACATTCCGCCTTGCATGACACAGAAAGGCATTGGGTCTGCCTGCACTGAGAAAAAAAAATCTGTCTCAGCACTATACGTTTAATCCCCAGATCGACGTTTTTTCGTTGCACTATACGTCTAGCGCTGGGAGCTAAACGTAGCATCCCAGGCAAAGAAAATTTAGAGCACAGCACTAAAACTCATTGGCAGGTCACTATCTCATTTTGAGCTGGGACAAAAGTCGGGAGCATTAGACGTACGTTTAGTGCCCGGACAGTAATATTTTTCTCAGTGTGCGGGCGTGGTGGGCGGGGGAGAGGGGGTATGGCTGCAGGTCCAAGAGGCCTTGGGTCGTGGAGGACGCCAACGTCGGGCTGTTTAGGGACACAGAAAGGGTGCGGGTTCGGCTGGGACTGGCCAAGGGGGCCCCCGCCAAAGGAACCAGCGCTGGAATGTGAAAGCGGGTCTCTTCTAACGGCCCCAAAACAAAAGCCCAGTGCAGGATGGGCGCACGCAGGCCGTTGCACCCACACCCCCACAGGCTGCCTGACGGCGGCCTCGAGGTGCGTCGGGCGGTGCGGGGTCCTTCACCTAGAGTCCCCCACGCGCCCTCGACTTCCCCTCCGCGCCCCGCTACGCCCCGCCACGGCTGCCGGCTGGTCCAGCCATTGCCGCATGCAGAACCTCTTTTCAAAGTCCGGACCAGACAGGCCACAGGCCCGGGCATGGTGGGGCGTAGGAAGGTGGAGGCGAACAAGCCGGTCCAGGCCCTGCAGCCGGAGGCGGCGCGCGGGCCGGGATGAGTTTTCGTAGACACTCGGCCCTGGCTGAGAATAGGCGCAGGCTGTCCAGGGCCGACAGGAAGAGGGGAGGGGCTGGGCAGTAGTCGAGCCAAACCTGTCCGGCTGCAGCGGCCAGCGGCCCGGCCCACCACGTGGAGGGCCCGGTCCTGGTGGGCCGCAGCCCGCCTCCTCGTTCCCGTCCAGACCCGGCAGGCCGTCTCATATAACGCGACGGCTGGGACACCGCCCGCGAGGAGTGCGGTGCGCGAGGGGCCCGGCATGCACATCGCCTCGAGCAAAGGGGTCGGGGCATACACAAGCTTCTGCTGAAGCTCTTCGCCACCGTCAAAATGCACGCTATTCCGTCCAATAAATTGTCACCCCTCCGCCGTCCAGCTGTTTATAGGCAGAGCAAGAGAGCTATCGCTTCCTCGCAAGTCGCAAGGACGAGAAGAGTAGAAGAAAGGGGAGGGGCGTGCGATAGAAGATAATTGCCTTATCTCAAATCAAAGCCTAATGTTCTCTGGGCGGGAAGCGGGGGAAGCGGGAGGCACCCGCCATTTCGGTGAAAGTCACCACCTTGCCGGTGCGGGTGCGTCCGGGGTCGGGCCGGTAGGAACTAGGAACGCGTCAAAGGGCCGCGAGCTGTGCGGGAGTGCCGCGTCGCCATGCGACGCCGGCGCCTCGAGGCCCCCCTGGACGTGGTGCTCGCGTACACTACCACCACCACCGAGCGAGCAGGGGTAAGCACCCGTTAGAAAAGCCGCTGAAAAGGAACGAGAACCCAAAGCAGAAAAGCGCTACGACGGCTGCGCCTCGTCCGCCAGGGTTCCTCCTGTACGCGCATCATTGCGGCTGATTGCTCCTTCGCCCGTTTGACCGATTAGGGTTCAGGTGGTGGAAACACGAGCGCCTGTCGTGCTTTTCTTCTCATGATTCCGGTTTTGTGTCAGCCGGAACACCCTATTGGCGGAGGGGGAGGAATGCGGAGCGCAACTGTTCCCCACCACCTGGAAACCAATCCAGGATGAGGAGGCGTTGCGTCACTGGAGTCTGAGAATGCGGAGGGCCCGGCCGAGCCTCGGGCCGAGCCTACCTGTCCCCCAGGGGTCTCCCCCCACAGATAGCCGCCAAGGCTCTCGACTCCTGTGGGCCCTTCGGGAACCTGTTGTATCCGCCCCGCAGGCCCCGCAGCCCCGCACGGAGTCGCCTGGACCGGCCCGGCAGCGGCGTAGCCAGACGGCCCCGAAGGCCCCTCGGTGGTTTAAAAAAAGGTTCACAGGTTCAGTTTTCCTCATAGCCTCACAGCTTCTTCCAGACAGACAGTGCAATACACTGTATACTATTTCATTTTAGATGAATCAATTTATGACTATGGTATAAGGAGGCCATTCAGTATCCTGTATTGGGCTTATCGTCCGTCCCGTCTCTATCACAAATGTATTTGCGGCCACTAGCACATTTTCTTGTACAGTATTATGCAAATTTATTGTCCTTGCGGTCACAAAAATGCATGTCTCAATCAAGAAATTTGAGCTTTGAAAAGCCCCTCACGAGTGTGTATTATCAATGATCACCAAGTATGTGTACACCTGATTACCACAGTTGGGCACCCCTCGCTTTTTCAATGACGAGAATGAAAAAGATACGTCACTACGCAGTCATATCTACGGACGGCTGAGGATGGATAGAGAAAAGGAGGGGGAAGTTGAAGGGAGGTGAAGGGGAGGGGGGGTGCTAGCAAGATGAGACCGACTTAGGCCCCCACGCAGAAGTGCACCGGAGCTGAACGAGATCTAGCCTGGCAGCAGGTGGTGGGGGAGGAGAGGGGGAGGGGCTCCCTGGATCCGCCCCTGAGCGGGGCGCTTGCGTCATACATGCCCACCACACAGCAGGGTCAGGTTTAATATGTCCCCTACCCCCGCCCGTCCCCTCCGCCCAGGGTCACATCGTGTAGGGACGAGACCCGGAGACGGGGAGAAGAAGATGAGTTCAGTCAGCCCCTACCCTGTTCTCTCGCCCAAAAGCCAGGACGACGCTATAAACTGCGGTGACGGAGGCGGAGCGTGGCGCGCGGGACGGCGTCGCCAGCCGAGGGTCAAGCGCCGCTTCAAACTCGCCCGAACCTAACCATGTGGGCTTGGACCGCAGGGCGCGAGGACGTTCTTCCATGTGATTTTGTGCGGGTGATAGGTAACACGTGGGCATCACACACGTCGCGCCTCGCCACGGGTCCGGTCCAGTCCGGCGACAGCCTGGAGCCGCACCTGCACCTTGGCCCGGCCGCGCCACATCGCGACGCACCCCGCCCCGCCCCGCTGCACCACCGCCATCCCGCCGCCACGACCGAGAGCACTTTCTCTGTGCTGTGGACAAGCGTGGCACTCTGGCTTGGAAGCAGTCGGAATATGAGTTGTAATACACGAGACTCCCCATTTATTTATTTTTTCGTAGTTTTGAATGGACATTTTTTTTTTCGTACAACTTAACGGGACAAGTGGCTGGGCTGGGCGTCGAGCGTGATCAGGTCGGTGGCGTGGTCGAGCCGGGCGGGACAGGGCGGGGCAGGGCGGGGCGGGCTGCACTGGGCGGCCTTCGGGCCTGGGCGCGACTCCAGCCCCCCAGGCCCGGCCAGCCCGGGCCCACAGTCCGTGGGGAGCCGGCGAGCAGCCCGTCTACTGATACGTAGCCAAAACGAAACCGAGGGTGGGGGTTGCAGCAAGGCGGAGGACATAAGAGACACAGAGACACGAGTAGACAGGAGCAAGATGGAGGGCCGCCACGATCTGCTCCACCTGGGGCCGTCTGAGGCTTGAGGGGAGGCGGGGGGCCTGGGTGTCCAGACCGGCCCGCTCTGCCCCGTCCCGCCCATGCTCCCCGCACTGCCGCCTGCTGCGCATCTGATCCCCACTGACTGGTTACCCTTGACATCCGAACAGAATCGAGAACTCCGTAACTGTCTCCGACCCCCCCCCCCTCCTCCCCTGTAAGCCGCCCACCGCCCTGTGTGACCGTCTCTGTGTGTATTACATACCCGTCTTTCTCCCCACTCTCTCTGTCCGCATCACCAACCGCTGTGACCGCGACGGACTGCGGTGCGGTGCGGTGCGGTGCCCTCTGTGCTGCAGACGCTTGCCCCGTTCAGTAAAGGTAAAGACAGCGACAGCGCGCTCACACACTGTCACCACCGGCGGGCGATCGCCCACAAGCGGGGACAAGCGGGGACGGGCGGGGGCGGGGGCCCATCAAACTGTTGAACACGGCGGTATCCCTCTGTCAGCGTCAGCCTCGGCTGAGCGCCCCGGAACTTTACCGGGGATGACAGGCAGAGCCTCTGGTCTTGCCGAGCAGAGTAGCACAGGCAGGACACGCTGCAGGGTGCGGCACTACACAGCAGGCGGCGTGTTTGGCATTGCCCGTCCCGTCGGTAAACACGACACATGCGCGCCTATGAGCCCTGGGGGGCCGAGCCCCCGCGGCCCGCCCGCCCCGTCGCCGGCCTCTCCTCCCAAAAGCGTGCGTCGTCATGACGTGCTGACCTTCCCGCGGGTATCCGAAGGGCGGGCGGACCCACCGCGGGCGGGCCGCTCTCTGCTGCTGCTACTGCTGCTGCGGAATCCAAAAGGCCGAATAACCGGACCGTATCGTTAGAGGCGGAGCTAATGGCCGGCCGTGTGTGGACCGTGTGCGGGCCGTGTGCGCACACTTACACCTCCCCGTCGCCTCCGGCCAGGCCCGGCCGGGTCCAAGGTGAGCACGGGGCGGGCCGGCAAACAGTGGCCGCGGGTGAGTTGGGCCCAACGGGCTCGGTCCTCCTGGAGACGACGGCGGCGTCCTCCAGGATCCCGATGATCCTGCTGTCCGTCGCTCGCCGCCACCGCCAACACCACCACCTCCAGACACTCGCGAGGAAAAGACCAAAAGAGGGGGTGAGGAAGGGGGGCAGTGGGGAAGGGGTATCGCAGCGTGACGCACTTTTACTTTCACTGGCCGAGGCGCGCGGATGGGGAGAAGGCGACGGACCCCACAGCTCACCGCTGTAGATGTGAGTGGACAGAGGAAGTAGAGAAGGAGGAAGAGGACGAGGGAGACGCAGAGGAAGAAGAGGACGAGGGAGACGCAGAGGAAGAAGAGGACGAGGGAGACGAAGAGGAAGAAGAGGACGAAAGGAGAGGAAGGAGAGGAAGGAGAGGAAGGAGAGGAAGGAGAGGAAGGAGAGGAAGGAGAGGAAGGAGAGGAAGAAGAGGAAGAAGAGGAAGAAGAGGAAGAAGAGGAAGAAGAGGAAGAGGAGGAAGGACAGGAAGAAGAGGAAGAGGACGAGAAGGAAGAAGAGGAAGAGGAGGAAGAAGAGAAAGGGGAGGAAGGGGAGGAAGGGGAGGGAGAGAAGAAGGAAGAAGAAGATAACGAAATAGCCACAATCAACGACACTATCAACAAGAAGAAATGCGAGTATAAGAATGCGAGGTGAGAAAAACAGGTAGGCGGAAACCGCCGGCCACTTTGCTAATGTATGGAACATACTGTACCGTACCGACTCCCTACTCTCGAAGCAAGAGCCATTCCGCAAACGGTATAAGAAACGTAAAATTTACTTTGCAAACAGACATTTCTAAGAATTTGTGTGTATACGGTACAATATAAACAAAATTTTCAAAAGTTGGCCGCGACGCATTCCACCGATCAGGGCGGGTGCAGTAGTTAGAACCACACTCAGGAAAATGAAAAGTTTTAGCAAGAAGGCAACCATAACATTTGGTTGAGGCAAAACCATATTTCTTATTGATACACCTGTGCGACCTGTGCTGTTGTTGCCTCAGTCATAGTCCTCAACCATTGTCCCTTGAGTAACCGTACGATGGTTGCTGCGGCTTTTCATTTTTTCTGGGTGTAGGTGCTGGGCCATGCGGGAGGGAGGTGGCTTGTTTTGTTCCTGCCTGGGCCTCGGGTCTGGGCTGGGGTGGGATGGGCTTTCGGCTGCGTGTCATGTGCACAGAGCGGAAATGCGGCACGCCGGAGGCAGCGGCCGAGACATCGCACGCAAGAAAAGTTCCGGAAAGAGAAAATGCTCAGCGATGCCGCCGCCCTTTCGCCCTTTGCGATCCCGCCGATGTGTATGGCGAGTGTGGTCATTGGCTGGCCGCCGGCGCCGGCGCCCCGGGACTAGAGATTCCTCGGATTATCGCCCGTTGCGTAGTCGATAACTTTTATTTTCCTTTGGCGAGTAGTGAGAGCGAGTTGGCAGGCCGAGCGCGGCGTGGCGCGGCGGCGGGTCGCGCCCGCAGAAGAACTGACCTGCCCTATGGAGAGCCCCGCCCGCCCGGCCCCGCCTCGCCGTCTGCTCTGTCGGCGCCACAACACAACGTCAATAATCGAATCCTTTCACAAGCCATCGGCGCGCCGCGGGGGGCGAAGCGGAAGACCGGCAAAAATTGAGACTGAGCAGCGAGAGAGCGAGAGATCAATTACACCTAAAGGCCCACGTCATTGAGCGGCGCGCGCGTGCCGACGGCCCATCATCGCCTGACCAGCGCACTCGCTGCGCGCCGCCGCCACCGCCGCCGCCACCGCCGCCGCCGCCGCCGCCGAGCCCCCAAAAGCGGGCGGCGCTCGGCGCAGCGGAACCTCGCTCGCACCGCGCAACGCACCCTGCCGGTGTGCCGCGTTCCTCGCTTTTGGGGCAGAGCAGCATCAACCGTTGAAATTCCACTAAAAACTGTGCGTTACCCGCCAAAACATCCAACGCATCAAACGCCCGTCACATGGCGACAATTGACTTGCTGGACAAAGCGACTCCAGCAGCGATAGTCAGCTCAACCCAGTAGTCTCTGTTGCGTTTCCCTCCAGGCTGGGACAGACTCGCGTAACGGCCCGGCCCGACCAATCATTCTCCACCAGGCATTTCCATACTTTGTCCAGCCGGTCCACATCGGGGCGTGGCGTGCCGATTACCGAACCAGCCGCCCCGCGCCGCCCCGCCCCGCCCCGACGGAAGGAAAGAAAGGTGCGGCCGACGACGACGCCACACACTCACAGAGAAACACACCACACTGGCCGCGCTGGCCGCTGTTGGCACACGATGGACAGGACAGTCGACATCATTGGATCAGCGACTGACATCCAAACCAGCTCCTCGGGTGGCAGCACGGCCGCTCGGTGGCGGGCGGGAGGCCGTGGCACTGGCTAGAGCTCCTGCGCGCGCGCTCAAGGGCCCCGCCAGCTCGAGGGCCAGAGCCACCCCGCCCCCGCAGCAGCGCGCTGCGCTTGTGGGGCAATGGCGGCAGGTGACACGGGGTGCAACAGGTGCTAATCACCAGCCGGGCCCTTGGCGAGCATGTAGGTCAATACCGGCGCGACACATTACAAGGAATGACTGACCGCGCGAGGCCGCCGCGGCGGTTAGCTATCCGCCCTGCCCCACCCTGCCCCGCCCCGCCGCGCCCTCCGCTGCGCGGACCTCACAAACCGCCCCCCATTGTAGCCGGCGCCGTAAAGTCCGCCTCGTATGGAGTGGACGACAAGAGCAAGAGCCCCTCAACTCCGCGACGATCCCCGGAGACTTATGATGCCTGACGCGGCGCTGCAGCTGCGCCCCTCCGGGACGGACCTCGGCCTACAATGTGGGGCGTAAAAGTGAGCGGCTCGGGGCGGCCTAAGTGCGAGAGCCATGGACGCCGCGCGTAAGGAGAGTTACGTCGGAGCAGATTCCACACTCCTCGTCATACCGCATTCTGTACCGCCGTTTGGAAAAACGTTGTAAAACGTTATTATTTAATTACACAGAAAATGGTTTGTCAGCGCGAGGCAGGCACACAGGAGGCAGCGGCCCTTCAAAAGTACAGGAGCCGTCGAGTGACGGCCTAGACCCGCTGCCTCCAGTAGATAAACTTGCAGCACCGCGCCAACCGTCTCGCATTCCAGTGGAGTTATTCAGATTCCAGGAGCGGCTCTATGGAGCCTCCATGAGCCTGGCCAGCCAGTCAGAGCGCGGGCGACGCGGAGCAGCCGTCGAATCCATCAAGCGCGCGGTGGTGACCGCCTGCTCTCAGGGGGGAGAAAGACGAGTCAAAGTCCGAATTTCACAATGCTCCCCCCTGCTGCCGCCTGTCCCGCTGCGCTCCAAAGGTCAGCGAGGCAGTCGCGGAGGTGCGGCCCGGGCCAGGGCCAGCCGTGTGGACGCGCGCGCTGCCCCTCCTGGTGAAGATGAGGCGGGGCGCCCTGACAGACGGACCACCCGGGGCGGGGGGCGGGGAGGGCAAAGTGGAGCAGCAAAAAAACAAAAAGAACACACAGAAGACGACGACGATTGGCAAACCAAACACACACACGCGCACACACGTGTAGGGGGGAGGGGTGGGGGGAAGAGGCCAGCGCGCGTGCGCAGCCGACTGACTCTGGGTGAAAGGTATACAGTACGAGTCCGCCCAAAGCCGTTCAGCCGGCGAGCGCGGGCCTTGGAAACAGGACGCAGGAAATAAACGAATATGTACCTCAAAAAACATTGGCGAGGCGAGAAAACGCGGCATATAATTTAAGGGTATGCGAACGACGAAGGCGTTGTCCAAGGACTCGTCCAGTTTCGCGTTCGGCCGGACTGGAGGGCAAAGGAGGGCACAGGACTAAACACAGATACTAAACTATGCACGCGTGCGGGCCTTAGTGAACTCTCAGGACTCCCAGTGGGGATCCAAATCGCACAAGCTCGCGAGGTGGCTCGGCGCCCGCCATCGCGGGCATATACTTTCTCTCAATGTGTCACCTAATGTGACACCTCGGCTCTTGCCGAAGGCCTCCTCGGGGCCTCGGGCTCAGCCGAGCACTCGCACTCGGGTAGGAATGTGTGGTATGGCGAGGCATTCATATTACGCTACGATTGCGACCCCCCCTTTCCCCCTTCCTAGCCCCGCCCCTGTCACCTGCTAATTATTGCAACACTCGAGCGAGAGAGACGGAGGACGGGAGGGAGAGAGGGAGAGAGAGAGAGAGATAGGAGAGAAGCGAGCGAGCAGTGCAGAGTCGCTTATGAACAACTTTCTCCGTGAAGGATGCCTAGCTACCCACCATGAGCAGTTAGTGTGTTGCTCCGATAGAGCAAAGAGGAACTCGGAGCTCATATGCGGGGACCGTAAAGCGTAAGGGGTTGGAGCGGTTGGGTTGGAGGGAGGCTCTGGGGTGGGGACCCAGGAGGGGGAAGCAGTGGGGAGGGCTCCTACAGGAGGGCCTTGACGAGGCTGGCCAGGAGGGAGGGGCCCGGTTGTAATGACTGTGATCCCAAGGCGGCAGTACAGTCCGATGTACCGCCCCACTACGGCAGGTGTGGCGGGGCGGGGCAGGGCGGGG